ACGACTGCGGCGCACTGAAAGCAGCACACGCTGGTGTGGCACTTACTGAAACAGAGGCCTCCGTAGCTTCACCATTCACATCCAAGATACAAAACATATCGTGCATTCCTAACGTGATCAAGTAAGCACTCATTTTTCCGTTTAAAAATCAAATGCTGCTATTTAGAGAATTTCCAAATGATTTATTTTAAACGAAATTTTAAATTGAACCTTTTAAAATTGAAATTGACAGAGAGGGCCGGGCGGCCTTGGTGACGTCATTCAGTATGTTCAAGTTCATCGCACTTTGCAGCATGATTCAGTTTGTAACAGTCATCATCGGTTACTCTGTAAGTATCTACTCAACGTTTTAATGAAACAACAGTCAAATCATTTTTTTTTTTTGGCGAGAATTCTTCAGCTACTGTTTGTTGACAAATAATGCTTTTTCTTTGTCTTTCTTGTTTAGTACCAATCCAAATTGGGCGACTTTATGTTCATGTATGCCGACATCTTCGTGATGACAACAGTCATTCTATGCAGTGAGTACATGTAATTTTATATCTAGCAACTTTTGGACTTAGATATAAAAATAATGTAAATTTTGTTGAAATGTATACAAAAAAAAGGAATAATGGATGATTTGCTTTGTTGTTTTGGTGTGTATATGAACACTTTCAGGCACAAAAACCCGTACTGACTCGGCAATTAGCTCTGGCCCAGAGTCTATTGAATCGCTGGTCAATCACAAATCAATCACAAGTCAATCATAAGCCAGTCATAAGTCCAATCAGAAGGTAGGTCATAATGTAGATAAGGAATTCCGAAAGGTACGAATGCCTCGATCTGCCACTAGTGTGTTTGCATTGGTCAGTTGACGCGGGACTTGATATTGACATTGCGACGACTTGTGACGACTCGTGATGGCTTGTGATGACTTGCTATGACTTGTGACGACTCGTGATGGCTTGTGATGACTTGCTATGACTTGTGACTGACTTTTGATGACTTGTGACTGACTTGCGATGACTTGTGACTGACTTGCGATGATTTGTAACGACTTGTGATGGTTTGTGATGGATTTTGATTATTTATAACTGACTTTTGATGACTTGTGACTGACTTTTGAAAACTTGTGATGGCTTGAAATGACTTGTGATTACTTGTGCAGGGACGGATCCAGGAATTTTTACGGGGGGGGGGCGTTCATGCATGTCAGATTGTTTTTAATCAGTAAATCAGTGCTGAACTGTAGACGCCTCTGTGTCCGAGTGTTTTGATAATTATTACTATAATTGTCCTAATTGTTATTTTGTGTCGGGGGGGGGGGGGGGGGAGTTGACCCCCAAAATGGATCCCCGCCTATTTTGATGACTTGTGACTGACTTTTTATGACTGGTGACGACTTTTGATGACTTGTGATGACTTTCGACGACTTATGATTGTCTGTGATGACTTTTGATGACTTGTGACAACCTACAAAAAAAAATAGATTTAACTCTGCATGGAACCTTGGCAATATTGACGAACTAACCTTATGATTGCTTTATGTTTGGTTTAATGCAGTGGGTCGTAACGATGCTTACCGCGCCATAGCGAGGCAGAAGCCGCCTAGTAAGCTCGCTATCACCACGGTGATGGTTTCCCTGGTGATGCAGGTCCTCATCCAAGCAATTTGTCAAGTTGCAATTTTTTTCATCCTCCTACAGCAATCATGGTAACCATATGGAACAATAACATTATAATAAAATAAAATACAATAAAACAAACTTTGATAGAAAATTATGTTTGGTTGATTATTGGGGGAAACAACATCAATTAAATAGAGCACAAAATCCTATCCTATCAAAGCAAACAAACTACTTGAATTCAAGGATGTAGGAGAGTTTTCTTGAATCTTTTTTTCTTGTCAGGTTTGTTCCTTTGGAACAGCAGGCAAATTCCACAAACACACTCTGTTGGGAGACGACATCCATTTTCCTAGTGGCCATGTTTCAGTATTCCACCGTGGCCATCGTGTACACGCCGGGAAAACCCTACCGGAAAGCAATCTACTCAAACTGTAAATGATTCAAACATTTTCAGCGATGTGTTCTGGTCGATTTCATATTGCAAAATTGATCATTCTATAAATTTGGGGGCCCAAAATGTATAGCCTGGCCCAACCACATGTGCATGTAGCTGCAGCAGTGTCACTAAGCATCGCGTCACCATCATCGATATTATTGTCAATCAAAAGCACATCAAAATCGTCATTAGGGTAAATATGTTGTTATTTGGTAAAGGCCTATTGTCAACGTTTTCTGTCACCAATTGTCACTATTGTCACCATACTGCGGTCGTTATCGTTATCAGTATATCTGTGATATATCTGTGATAAGAGTGGTATACAATGCCTGGTTATTTCTGTCAGTCATCTCCATTTTCCCTTTTTTGGTTTGTAAAGCCGCATATTTTTTGAGACAAGCAAAATGTGGTCACTCTCTTCTTTACATGAGTGTTGTGTTGAAATTCTGTCAATGTATTGCAGACGTGTACATGGTCGACCTCATTATAATCCACGCGTGTAGCCTGGTCATCTTGTTCTATCCGCCAACGGAGATTGAGGAGCTGTTTAAGGTACGTCATCATGACGTCATGTCAAGTTTTTTAATTAGAAAATAGAGATTTCATGATGGTTTTAACAAAGGGGGATACAGGGCCATAGTGTACGGTTGTCACGTGATACTGTGTGTCAATTTCATTGGTACTGACGCTGGGACGTGTGCTGTTGTTTTCGGCCATTCCGTCAGCTGTATTTGTGCCTTTAAGTTGTCATTTGTTGTTCGTTGTTCAAGTGCAGCCGTGCTGTATGGATTTTGATGGGGTTTTTTTTGGCTGAAAATTAAATTGAATCTTCTTTTCCTCTGCAAACAATCAGCTGAAGCACATCTCGAGTTATCGGTTCAAGGGAGTCATATTTGGCGTGGTGCTCATCAACTTTGTCTTGTCTGCCTTGGTAGAGGTTAGTTGAAAACTGCTACCTTTTTGGTAAACTTATAATTTATAAAAAAATAATTAATTTTATTACAATTTGTAGACGAACATCTGTAAATTTCTGTTTGATGTGCACTGGGTGATCTCAGCACATGATTTGCATGACTAAGCTAGTAAAAACGTCAATTAATTATTACGAGCAATTAATGTGAAGTAATTTGAATCGATTTTTACTGTGATATGTTTATTCTTTTCACTTTAGCTTCTCATCATTCCAAGACGTAAACTGATGAGGCTGTTGTCTTGCAAATGTTTCCGTAAGGTTTCTCTACGGCCTTATGAAGAACTTGCGATGATGCCAATTAGCATGTAGCATTGTAATAATGATTGTCATTCACTAGTGCTGATATTATGGGGTGTCCTGTGAATCCGTCACTTAATGAAATGAGATGTGGTAAAAATAATAAAGAATGAATGAATGAATGAATTCTCAGCTCGTTCAGTTGAGTTTAAAGTAATTGCAAATATAATGCTTAGTTTGCATTAAAACTGTACTCGCAACTGTTTTGTTTGTCAGTTGCACCAATTACACATGACAAAGAAACATATAAAGATATAAACACGAATCAAATGCGCGTTTTGGTGCTCGCTCCAGCAAAGGTTAAGGTGAAACTGATAACAAACTATAGACGAATTCCTGTAAAGTGAGAACAATTCAAATTCTGCTTAGTGTGATGTGTACATAAAACCAGTAATATATAATACCGCCAAACATTTTATGATGTTTAGGCCCCACCCCTTACAATATAATGAAATGAATGCACCTTCACCAGCAATTCAATTAAAATGACTTAGCTATACATGTATATAAGCATCATGAATTGGTTATGGTTTAACGTGTCCCCGTATCCCTAAAAGGGGCGGGTTCAGACCACAACGGATGGGGGGGGGGGGCGGTTTGAAAGTCTCCATTTCGCTTCTGTACATTGCTGATTTTGTACATTGTCAATTTCGTACAAAGTTAATTTTCAAATTCAGGTGTTTGATGGTGCCGATTAAGGATGTGACTCTGCGTTTAATTTTATAAAGTTAGCAAATATTTTAAATAGGCCTACCGTTCAACATATGAAGTAACATAGGCTGACGCCTGTCTATTATGTCTGCAGACCCACGTGATTGACATGATAAAACAATGAACAATGATTGGGATAATAAATAGCGGGCAGGATTTGAAAAAGTAAAAACTTAACTAGGCCGGTGTGTGTACCCCGAATTAAATCAATAACTGCTTAGCTTCTAAGGTTTTGTAAACTATTTGGAAACATCGTTTATTATTTGTGCTATGTATGTTTAACTTAAAAAGAGAAATCGCATGAACGTAGCTTTCTTTGTTATAATTTGGGTTTCGTTAAAACGTAAATAAGTAAACCGTCCCCGGATTTTTTTTTTTTTTTTTCGTTTAAACGTTTAAACGTGTAGCCGTCACATCCTTCGTAAAATCGTATACCCTAGTGCTGATACGACCATACGAACATTTTGGCCCAAAGTCAGTGGGGATTCGAACCAATTTAACTTTTATTGAAAGTAAAGATTTAAGCGCACATGCATAGGACTCTGACTTTGAAAGTTTACTGTCTACAATTTGGGCGGAGTCGGCTGCCGATGACAATTTCTGAAGGCGGGACCGGGGCGATATCTTATGAAGTAGGGAAATTATATCGAACCGTTTGCGAAAGTTTATAATAATTTCAAAATGCTTTATGAATACCACTTGTAAAAAGGTTAATTGGAGTGATTTTGAACTGTATACATTTAAATCATTGAATTAATTAATAAAAATGTTTATTGCAAGTAAACATAAATTTCACTGTTTTTTTGTTATAATACTGCGTCCCTTTGTCGGTCAGTTATGTCCATATCACATTTTCCCGATAGTTTTGAAAACTATACAGCGAGAAAAATTTAAAATGTGGCGGCGCGGTGTCAAACCAATGAGTACTGAGCATAGCGGTACGTGTGGGAATGTCTATGGGAAGTCCCCACTTGTTTGCTCTAGCGCCCTCTATCTAAATACAATTTTCCAACATGGCGGAACGTCAGAGTCGACGACGAAAGAAGCGAGATGTAAGTGGTTATTTTTTGGGAACTTATGAATTAAATTGGACGATTCATGATATGGGATTGAAAATACCGGTAAAGCTCGTGTTCGGAACGAACTTTTGGTAGAAATGAGTGTTTCACGATTCGTCAAATTGTTGCAATAAAAAGTGACGTGGAACTGCGACAGCTGTTTTGTGTTTACTTTTCACCTTTTTGACAATCACTCAATCAACAAGCACTGCAGTGAAAAGAAGTACAATTTCGTCTGACGATCAACCCCCTGTTATGTATTCTTCATGTTGCTGATTAGAATCCTTGCTTAATCCAGTGTTCTTGAAGTGAAGATTGATGTTCTTGAAGGGTTTTAATTTGTTTACAGTATTCAGGTTAGTCCGAGTAACTTCGACCCAACTTATCGCCTTTTTTAACATTTGGACATGGTCTGGCGATAGTAAGGTCCAAGCTAATACCGCGACCTAGACAACACAGTCCCAAAAACCAACATTTTCCAACAAAAAACATCAGATTTCACCTTCAAAACGGCCTCCAAATTACTAGATATGCCACCTGAGGTACAAGTAGACATCGATAAATAAGATGGTTGTACTGAAGTTTACTTACGATCCAGAAAAAAGTGAAATTTTCCGTTCATTTCGGAGAGCTCCCCTCGCGATCTTGAACACGTTAAATTTCCGATCGTGTTTAATGTTTGAACGACGCGATTTCTTCTACATGCCCAGCGTACATTCGATGGTCCCCGTATCCCGAGTGCGATTCCGTTACCGAGCGCGCGCGATGCATCGATTATGATAATGAGTAGACTGGATCACGTTTGTAAACACATGTGCATTTTAAACGATAATAGGGAGTCGGGAACTAGCGCAGCTTTTATGGCGGGTACCAGTTCAAGCTGGTTCCCGATTCCCTTTTACAGTTCGAAATGCACATGTATGTGTTTACAAACGTGACTCATTATCATAATCGATGCATCGCGCGCGCTCGGTAACGGAATCGCAGACGGGATACGGGGACCATCGAATGTACGCTGGGCATGTAGAAGAAATTGCGTCGTTCAAACATTAAACACGATCGGAAATTTAACTTGTTCAAGATCGCGAGGGGAGCTCTCCGAAATGAACGGAAAATTTCACTTTTTTCCGGATCGTAAGTAAACTTCAGTACAACCATCTTAATTATCGATGTCTACTTGTACCTCAGGTGGCATATCTAGTAATTTGGAGGCCGTTTTGAAGGTAAAATCTGATGTTTTTTGTTGGAAAATATTGGTTTTTGGGACTGTGTTGCCTAGGTCGCGGTATTAGCTTGGACCTTACTATCGCCAGACCATGTCCAAATGTTAAAAAAGGCGATAAGTTGGGTCCAAGTTACTCGGACTATATTCAGGTAGGGGCCTACATGTACCATGTCAAGCGCAATCTGGAATCTTGCGAAGTTATTGTCCTGCCTCTGTCTGAGTTCATATCCCTGGATGCCGGATTTCATTGAAAAGGAAATGAGCTAAGGAGGGAGTGCAATAAACTTGCGCAAGATTCCAGATTGCGTGCGACATCGTCGTCAATTCTTTGAGATGAGTGCATTTTCAAATTATTTTCTACCAAAATTGGAAATGTTTCTCAGTCCCAGATTCATGTCTTTTCAACATTTTTGCAATGACTGACCTTCATTTAGATATGATGAAAAAGTGGCGTCAGGATGCGCAACATTCTTTCCCGTCACTGTAGTCAGTGTAGTGATGGTGAAATATGATCAGAATATCTGTTCAGTGAAGAAACTTCCACTGGCAGTGAAATCCCTTAGCTAAATGTTATTGATGATGCACATGGATCTTAAGATGTAGCACCGTGTGCCAAGCTGATAGGATATTGTCACTTTTCTGCAGTCAAAGACCATGTTTTTTATGTCTTCCAAGTTGTCATAATATGCCAACAATTAAAATGTATGTTCTGTAATTTCAAGGACTTGATAACATGAAAGCTTTCATAAATAATGTTTGACGTTTATAGGATGGCCAAGCAGAGAAACCAACCGATGAAGAAACTGCCGTTGGCAAACATCTTCGCTTCAACCTTGCCACTAAGACCAGTAATTTCATGGGCCATAAAGTCGAGTATTTCACAGGTATGTATAAAGGTCCTGCAGGCTTCATGAGGCCAAGTACAAAATTAATCTGGTTTCTCATCCCCGCCTGCTTCCTTTTTTTCCGGCCGCCTCTTCTTTTTTTTTAATTCATACATTGTCAATATATTTTGCACATATATTGTCAATATATTGTCTTTTTATTTGTTTTCAACAAAATTGTAGCTATGTAGAAAGGATAATACCTCCTTTGGACACAATTTTGTATCGGCAAAATAATTTAGGAAATCGAAGAATCCATCCCCAATCTTGGGGGAAAAAAAGGAAGGGAAAAAGGCATCCTCCTCCTTCATTTAAAAAAAAAGGGCGTACGAGAAAAAAAAATTTTTATTCGACCTTATCTTTGTCTTCACATGTGTTAAAACCACATTTGTTTCATTGGTTTATTCAACTTCTCCTATTTAGATTGTTTTGATTTGTCTAACTATTCATTCAGGATCCAAGGCCGTCGACTTGATGCTGGATTCTAAATGGGCGTCAGGCAAAGGCAGTATAGAGATTCTCTTCACTGATCGGTCGTCAGTGGTGCAGTACCTGGAAAAGTATACATAAAGTGTCTGTTGCCATCTTGACATTAATACATGGAGAAAGATTGCCTCTGCTAAATTCTCTAAATTGCTTTTGTTGCGACTTAAGAACTCTCAACTAGCAAAATACTGATTGAAAATCCCAAACTTTCTCTTCTGTTTTCTTCCTTTTTTAGCACTATTTAAAAATAGTACGTCCAGCCCTTGTGGATAAAAATAACAATAATTTACAAATTATATTGGGCTGTTTCCATTTTTTAAATGATTAAATCAATATTAAATTTATAAAAAAAAAAAAAAAAAAAAAAAACACTATTAAAACTTTCACTTTGGACAGTTCAAATGTACATACTCGTAAACTGTTGTTTTATTCTTTGTTTTACAATAACTGTGTTTTGGGTTTTTTTTTTTATAAATAAGAATACATGTAAAAACATTTGCCTGTGGTGTATTACCATGCAGTATTACTACGGAAACTGCATTGTAGGTTGTCAAATGTGAATTAAGCACTCCCGGTTTTACCAGCATCATTTAATTTGAGAATTCTACATTTCAAGTTTTCAAGGTTGATATTCTTGTTGTAATTATTGCAGGCTATTGCACAAAGGTATGTTCCATCGCGCCCTGAAGGTGGTGAAGAAGAGCAAGAAAGATGAGAAGAAAGACAAAGAAGGAAAGAAAGAGGAGAAAACTGAGAAGGAGGTGAAGAAAGGAGAGGCTAAAGCCAAGAAAGAGAAAGGAGAAAAGAAGGAAAGCAAAGAGAAGTCTGAAAAAGAGACCACAGAAAAGGTAAGTTGCTCATATCTGATTGACTATGCAAAATAATCATTTAAGTGAAACAGTTACTATTGACTGGTCAATATAATCATTTTAAGCAGTCAATATAATTCCATTAACTGGTTGGTGTGATCATCTTAGCCAGGTTAATATAATACTGTCGTTATAAGAATGTATCAAATCAATATATTATTGACTGGTCTGTATGCACAGTATAATTATATTGACTGGTTAATATAACGAAATTGACCTGTGTCTGTGAAAGAGATGATTTGTCAGTATCTTCATGGTCAATAGATACTGACTAAAAAAAAATCAAAAAGTTGATTGAATAATGGTGTCTCATTGACTGGTCAATATATCACTATGGACTGGTAATTTTATAAACTTATTGAACAGGCACTGCAGTATGGCTGCAAAGTTGATTTGGGTCATTGAGAGCTGGCTTGGCTGATTCTCAGTGGAAGAGATTAGCAGGGGTGATTGGAACCTCCAATTTACTCATTGACATTTTCTGTGTATCATTGACTATTATTTCAGGAGGAGGGGACACCCAAAGCCAAGAAGAGCAAGGAAGTCAAACGAAAGATCAAGTTGGAACCTACAGAGGATCAAGTCTTCAGAGACGGAAACGATGTGAGTCCAAATCTTACATTTTGAGCTATTTCAATCGAACAAATGGAAGCAGTTTCAAAAACCAGTCACTGACAATCAACACTGAATAAACTTTGACCAGTTATGAAGTCTCTAAACATCATTACTCAAAACAAATCTCTATACTAATTTTGTGTTTGTTTGTTTGTTTGTTTGTTCACTTTTTTTGCAGGCTTATGTTTGGATTTACGATCCCGTTAAGCCAATGTACTACGTCTATGGCCTGCTGTTGGGTAAGTTAATAATGCACTACGCATTATCAACTCCATACCCTCCGATGCAAACATACAGTCTGCGCTAGGTTGTCCTTTGGGTCAAAACGAATCAAGTGACTGTTTTCAACAGTTAAGAGCTCCCAGCCAACAAAAAGCAGGATTGACTGGCTGTGACTGTATATGTAAATTGATACAGTTACGCTTTGACTGTAGGTGATTGATAAGCCAGCTGTGCCTACCAGTTTCCTGCTTTTGTCTGTTGACTGAATTCGACTAGTCAGAGTGCTTGCTTGAAATATATGATCTGACTGTTTGTGACTAGCCTGTGTAAAAGGCATGGCAGTGAAATTAAACAAATATCAGAAATGTCTCATCTGACCTAATAAAGTTATTTAATTACAAACAGACTTTTGCATTTCTAAACAGGCTCTATGATTAAAACTGTTTTGATTTCCAGGAAAGTTTGAAATAACTACATGCACTGATTGTTTGTGTTTGTTATGAGTTTCGTAGTTGGGTCATTCTATAAATTTGGGGTCCAAGTGTGACATTTTTCCCGTCCCTGTTACTTTGGTACTTTGTAATTTGCCATTCAAGTATCATTAAGAATGACTTCAAATGATTGTTTATTTGTTGGGTAGGTAGTTTGCTATTCATAATCACTCTTGGAGGATGACTGCATTAAGGAGTGCATCAGAATTATACAATCATAGATGTCAGATGTAACAGGGACAGGAATAAAAGTGGACCCCAAATTTATAGAATGACCCAGTTGCGGCACTTGTGATGATCATAAGCAATCACAAGACATCCAGTGCCGAGTCAAGCTACAAGCTATTCAAATAAACTGTGACAAAGACGTTTCTTTGTTATTTCTCATCTTCTTACCTGTGACTGCACTTGCAAATTGACTTGTGACCAAACTTGTGATGTACTTGTGATGTACTTGTGATCCATTAGAAATACTGTGACTTCAACACTGATTTTTGTGATTGTTTTGTTAGTGGTTGGAGCCATTACTGTGTGTCTGTTTCCTCTCTGGCCGCCATGGATGCGGGCTGGCACTTACTATGTGAGTCTGGGAGGAGCTGGCGTCGTAGGAAGCGTCTTGGCGTTGGCAATAGGTAAGATTTGGAAGTCTCAATCTCATACGTCTTGAGCCAATATGGCTCATCAGGCCAGCGTTTATCTCTGGTTTCTGTGGTATGAAATGACTGAAAATATTGCTGTTTCCGCAAGATGAGCTGCCAGTCCATCTCAGGTTACTCCCCAGCTAATGCCGTATCCATTGTACTCCTGGGTGGAGAGAGGCAAGTTGGGGTGAAGTGTCTTGCCCAAGGACACAATGTATGGCCTGCAGCTGGATTCGAACTCCTGACCCTCTGATCACGAGTCATAAACCCTAACCATGCTAACCGCCTTTATTGTATAGCAGTGATAAGTGCTTAGTTAAGTTAGGTTAGTTGTCTAACATTCTACTGACTTGTGACTTTTCTCTCCGTTTCAGTTCGTTTCATCCTCTTTGTCCTCCTGTGGTCGGGCACCATGGGACGCATCCATCTCTGGATATTCCCAAATCTCCTAGCCGATGTCGGGATCCTTGAATCCTTCCAGCCGGCCTACGAGTACACCGTCAACAAACGCAGCGCGGAATCGACCAATGACGAAACCACTGAAGGGAAGGATGGAGAGGAACAGACGAAGGGGGAGGAGGAGGGGATGGCGGAAGGGGCGGGGCAAGATGCGGAGGAGGTAAAGGAGGCAGGAAATGACGAAGAAGATGAGCAAAACGACGATGACGATGACGACAATGAGAACGAAGAAGAAGATGGCAGTGGCTCCAGCTCCAACCAAGAGAATCGAGAGGAGTTCGAGATCATCGAGCCTGAAGACATTTCTGCCGCGTCCCAAGAAGCAGAATCGTGAAACTTTTTTGGACGATAACTTATTCACTTATCACCAGATCAGTGCTAGAAGGCCCTTCAATAAGTCAAAATAAGGTCATAAAATCACCGAAACGAAAAATTTTGGGTTTAGAAATTGGCCATTTCTTTTCCTACATTGTCTCAGAAGTTGTTTAATTACTGTTTAGCAGTGATTCAGAACTACTTGGCATTTTGGGCTTGAAAAGTTGACTTTCGAGAAGCAAAAAGGAGAATAACTATTTTAGGTACTTTCCAGTTTTAGAAACAGTGTGCTTATTGCCAGCACACAGTTCAGAAAAAAAAATTCAATAATTAAAAGATTTTTAGAGTGTTACAAATTGTTAGCTTCTTTACAGCTGGCCAAACATTATTGAACCTTATAACACTGAGACAGTGATAAGTGTCGTGTTTTATTATTTTTGAGGTTTTTATTTATTCTTAATGACCATAGCACACATCCACAAAAATCATATTGATTTTTGAAATATGATAAAACTCAGTTAATATTAAGGTCCGATGTGACTTACAAACATGCATCCAATTTGGTGGTTGGAGTCTTTTGACCATTGCTGAAAAAGCTTTCAGCATAATTTTCATCAGAAAAATCCTCAACGTAGCGTAAGTTTGTAAAGATACATTATTTTCAGCAATAATATTTGAGCAATTATTTCAAAAATGTCTGTCTCATTTGGAAGCCGTGAATAATTTTTTTTTCATGCGGAGCATCACATTCTGTAAATCTTGTAAAAAAATCACATATTTATGAAGACACTTATGATGTGAAGCCAGATGATACTTCGGTAGTTGGGTTCTCATGATTAAACTTTAAAGGGAATATACAACATTTGCCAACATCGAAAAATAAAACTACCAAGTTTTTTCGAAATACCTTACAGGATGTTGGTAAATGACAGTCTAAAGCATCCTGTAAAATTATGGTACCTGGTGTCAAGTCATTTTCAAGAAAATGGTATTTTTGTAAACATTTCCAACGGAGGTCGGCCGACCACTGTTGGAAATACCTAACTATTTTTCAACTACTGCTCCAAGTTTACTATTCTGTTCATCCCAAATTGTGTTTGCTATTGGTTACATATTCATGAACGGGTGCAGGCCAGCTAGACTGGTTCCCTTACCTTACAATTTTCCAGCATCTGTAAATTGATCCACTTTATATTTAGTGGAGTCAAGGAACCAGACTACTTGAACATTTTTTGTTTTTCTTGGTTTTTCCAGCATTTTCGAACACAAAACTTCAAACATGTCAGTGTAACAGTACTTGATCTATTACACTAACCCCTCATATAGTTCATTTCTGAAAATTATAGCAAAAGCCAATGATGTATATCCCTTTAATATTCAGTTATTCGCTAAATAGCACCAAGAAGGTATTGCGCTCCTTACAAAAGATCTAAACACAGCAAAAAAAGAAGAAGAAAGTCCCCCTCATTGGATGGGCCATAATTTTGAATCTGATCGTCTTATGATAACGTCATTCATATAAACCTTTGGGGAATGTTGTTAGCTACATTTTGATGAGTGCATATCTATGTTCCCCAATACGTATGTTCCCCAATACCAAGGTTCCCCGAAATCCTTACCCTAACCCTAATCCTAAGGATTGCGGGGAACATCGGTATTGGGGGAACATAGGTATCGGGGAACATCGGGTAGACCCCCATTTTGATACCCCATTGCTACCAAAGACTGTAAATCGTCCAACATTGACGACGATTTATGATTTATGAAAAATGATGCAGTTTGAAAAGTTGCAAATTTTACAATGAGTTTGGACTTTCTTTTTGGGGGATTTTTTGTTGAATCATTGTGAATTTGGCAAACTCAAGTTCAATACATCTTGAATATATCTTAAGGAATATTAGTTTGATACCTTGTTCTATGGCTGAGATTCTTTATCAAATATGTACTCTGTTAATGTTGTAAGCAGCACTTGTAGCTCAGTGTGATGTTTCTTCCTAGCTGTCTAAAGCTTGATGTGTATCTTTCTAATGGTGCTTCTTTCTGCTGGTTTTTTTATGTATTTTCAACTATTTCTGCACCAAGCCCATTCTATCTTCCATCCCCACCCTTCGAAAATCTGAGATAATGTTACTAACATACTTTCAGTAAGGGCTATTCATTTGTTTTGTCTGTTAGGATGTTGTTGAAAGAGCAAGCTCCCTGATTTGAAATACAAAATACAGTGTAGAGCGGACTTGTTAAAAAAGACGAACATTTGAGTCATATTAACATACGTAGTTATGTTCTTATTGCAATTATGCGCTGTATTAGTGGTAATTTTAATAGTCTATTTCTTGCAAAGTTGCCACAGTGCTTGTAGCTACATGTGCATGTCTATAACAATTGAAAATCTATTGAAAAAAATAAACATACGATGTGAAAGTAAAATAAAATCAGATTTGCTTTGTGATTTTTGTGTGTTTTTATGTTAGAATGTCTGAAAAAGTGAAAATCGTGTAATTATAATTTCTAGCTGAGCGTTTTGCAATCATTTATATACCCGTATGACAATGTAGTTTGGTGCGTGAATTTTTTTAATGAATTCAATGTCTTCATTGTATTAAAATTATTATTTGCTGAACACCACTATTTCGTAATATCGCCCTCTCTTGGTTGGAAACTACCAGTGTACGAGCGCCCTCTTTTGACATTTATTTATGTATATTTTTCAGTACATTCTGTTAACATGTATTTCATCCCAGTAAGTTTTTCCTAGCTGTTCATAAATAGAAAGTGAAATCGGGATTGTAAGAACTCATGTGATTTTAAATGATCGTTTTTTTATCAATTACGTCAGCAATTATCTGTGATTTCATCCTATTTTTTGGAAAAAGAAAGTTATCATCTGAAGACATGAACTACACGTTCTCATAATACAGTACATGTCGTGCAGCTGTGTCCGCAATGTGAAGTAATTGGCAAGAATGTGATTTTTCGAAGAAGCAAAAAGGGTCGCAAAAGAAGAAGAACGTATGAAGGTTAGTTGATTTTTCAACATTTATGGGGACTTGACAAGTTCCTGTATAAAACGTACCTAAAACTGAGATGGGTTTAAGGATTTTATATCAAGAAAATAAGAGATTTACTTGTGCTTAACTTTCCTTGAACATGTTGTTTGAATGGCTTGACAAATTCTTGATGTTGTTTTCTTGTTGATCATCTTGTAAGTTGTAGTCCCATAAATGCGACGGTAATACTAGACTACCTCCATTAACTGTCACACATCCCACATGTGGTATTTGCACAGAAAGTTCATTGCTAGGGGAGCCGAACAGCAATTTGAAATCGCAATTATTTTGTCACTTTATACTCGCATAATTTCGAGTTGAATTCGGACGACTTTTGCTGCCATTGTTCACGAAAGCGTCGTGTTGCATGACGTCATGGGTTGTGATAATCGCGCCCTCACTACACTAGCTTGCATCAAATTTTGATAATGTGCATTGGTAAGGCTGTTGCCTGTCATTCAGTTTTGGTCAAAAGTGCGCCCGCATACATGCACTTTTGACCAAAAATGTATGTATTGCGATAATGACAAAACAGAATTGATTTTAACAATTTTTTTAACATAAATTTGTTTGGACAGCATTCCTCTCCAAGACACATGACACCTTCCCCTGCTATGAGGTGGTTCAACCCGCGGCTCTTCTCCCGTCTGCCAGTCTTCTTGGTCCTCCTTGTCATCTCCAACTTTGTGACCTATCACTTGGTCTGTGTGAATCGGGGAGGGGAGGGCGGGGCCATCAAACTCAGAAGCAAGGCAGATCAACAGCGGAGTCAGGAGACAGAGGTGGAATCGCTGCAGCGGCCGAGTCTCGGTCAGAGTCTGAGATTCCGGGGGCAGGTGAGCTATTTTCAAATAGACTGCATCTGGGCAATTCCATGGTAACTCACATTACATTTGGAGGGGGGCTTCCGTCAACTCTGTGCTGTTATTCTATAAAGCCAAGGCATCTAGAGTGGATTTTTCTCACAGAAGATCCCTTGAAAACATTATTTAAAAAAAGGTCAACAGAAAGAAAAAATGTTGCAACCTGACGCCACTTCCGCGATTGTGTACAAAGCCTATGGAGAGTCAAGAAAATTGTCTAAGTATTTCTTAACAAAATTGGAAATGTTTCTCAGTCCCAGATTCATGTCTTATCATCATTTTTGCAATGTATGACCTTCATTGAGATGATAATGAAGAAAAAAGTGGCGTCAGGTTGCAACATTTTTTCCCAACAGAATAAAGTTCTGTTGGTTTGGCAATAACATTTTTATCGTTAACTCACATTCCAAGAAAAGGACATGGGAAGCATTTCAATACCCTGCAATTGAAAGTTTCCTCATACTGTGCACTGGTGAAAATGTCTTTTCAATGTCCTTACATCATTAGTGTGTAAGTCATATAGAGTTTCAATTATTAAGAAATAATCAGTCATAAAATCTCTGGAGGGATATATTTCAGTAACAATTTGCAATTGTCCGCCCATCTTTGGTACAAGTCAAAACATATAAGAAACTAAAAATTAAACCAAAAACCTTTTTTCGTATAAAATATTTACCTTTCTCTCTCTGCCCTCAAAAAGTCACAATCACACTTGCATTTTGCGTGTAAAACACAAGAAGCCAAAATGGCTACCTAGCCCTCCAAAAAAGTTTTCTTGAAAAAAAACCCACAATGAATCGACTAGCGAATGGACTTGTTATTTACTTGTGACTAGTGATTTAGTTGTGACTGGACTTGTGACGGGGCTTGTGATTAATTTGTGATGGACTTGACTGCAGCACTGTTATCCTTATTTATTTCAGGTCAATGAAGAGAAACCTCGCCATCCATCCAACAACCTGATCAAGAGTGACCTCCACTCCTCAGGAATTCATTATCAGGAGATTGAGTGTCTCATCAACAACGATTACACAATACAAGGAAGGCGTGAAGGACAAGAAGTCTACCTGCCATTCTCATTTATTGAAAAGTACTTTGAAGTGTATGGCAAGATTGCTGAATACGATGGGTGAGTATAGACTTTGGCTTGAACAATAGATGGCTCTCTGTAACCACTCGTGAGGTCAGTGCAGGACACACTGCTTGCACACACTGCAGTGCACAAGTCTTATTCTGAATGTACATAAAGCCTTCCCAGTCGTCTCCCCCAACTGGCTCTTTGTAACCGTTGAGGGGGTACTTGTGCAAAGAGTCATGTAAAAAGTGGAAGTAAAGTCTGTCACGAGCCAATGTGGCCCATCAGGCTGGCATTTATCTCTGGTTTCCTTGGCATGAAATGACAGAGAATATTTCTGTTGCCCCTGGATGGGATGCCAGTCCATCGCAGGTTACTCCCCAGCTAAAGCAGTACCCATTTATACTCCTGGGTGGAGAGAGGCAGGTGGGGTGGGCGGGGCAGCACCACGTTATGAGGAAGTTTTTTTATTGTTAGGTAAATTAGGACCGAGTTATGGGGACTTTCTGCTGTCCCATAGCGTCTTCGGTCCCCATAATACCATCGCTCGACATGTGTGTAGTCCCCACAGTTACGGAACAAGAATACATGAGGTGGCTTGCCGAATGACACAACATAAGACCAGCAGCTGGAGTCGAACCCCTTACCCTCTGATCACAAGTCACGAACAAAAATCAACACTAACCTCTAGGCCACACCCTCTCCCTGCATAGAGTCTAGAATTCATTAATTTAGTGATAATAAGTGGGGCATTTGTGGCACATACTTTGATTTGATTTTTGCTTTGTATATTTTTTGGTCAGGTACGATCGTTTTGAGTGGCAGCACAGCGTGGCCCGCGTCTATCAGCAGGCACCATACAGACCGGAGGGGGAATTCATGTCCTTTGGTCATTACAATGTGGAGCCCAGAGAAAGGGTGAAAATGATCAGTGGTGTGGAAGGTAGGTCAGGAACAAGGTCAAAGGTTACCTTGAGGTCAAAGTTCAAACTAAGGCCAAATAAAATAAATTGTTGTTTCTAGTCCAAGGTTATCATTATCATTCTGTTGCAAATTAACACAAGCCCCCTTAGGCCAAAAAAATAAAAGTTCTGCTTCCGGTTGTACCTAAACCTATTTTAACAGCCCCTACCCAAGTTTTTTGGGGAAAACAATGAGGGGAAAAAACCCAAAATCATCAATTACCCACCTTTTACCCGTACTACACGCAGACACCTCCATATGATCGTACACAAAAAAAATTGCCAAAAATAAAAAATTCCCCACCTACCTACCCTATTTTCAAATGCAATGTAATCGGAAGCAGAACTATTTTCTTTTTTGGCCTTAGGTTTTGTGAAAAAGTTACGAAAATTGGTGGAGGATTCAGGCATATTTCATCCACAAGCTATTTTGCCACACACAAAGTATTTAAGTTGGAAGGAACCCCACAATACACACAAAACTTTCTATACACTTATTTGATCGATCCACCTATTTAACTAACCAGCAGTTTCTGCTGTAATTTGACAACATTTCACAAAAGACTAATGGTTATGTATAGGGGTTGCGGAGTGTGTAATGAACACGTATAGGATTTTTTTTGAAGGGGGGGGGGGGAATAGGGCTAACCACCTTAAATCCTCCAAATTGCAGTAAATTTTTTAGCCAAGGCTCCAGTACCTTTCATTGGACTTTTGCATCAATTTTGTGTTGTTTTTTTAATCAGTATGTTTCATTTGGTAATTATCGCACAGCATTGGATTACGATAGAGTAAGAAGCCTCGTGAAAGAAGCCAAGGAGTTCAAATTACATGAAGCATCGTACTTTTATGACTAAACTTTGAGATTTAAGACCACAAAAAATGCTGGCCATTGATTCATTACAAGCACCACCTGTTCTAATTGGTAACGTGATGTGCTCTGACTCCGATCTGTATGACTCGGAAATGGGAATACCCATGTGGTCTCATATGGTAACTAATCGTCTTTCCTGTACTGTAACCTGAGAAGGGCCTATTCCATATCAAAACCAGTTTTGATTATCTAGACGCTTTCACTTTTCATTTTCGCATACTGAAATCCAACCCTGTCAATTAAATTGTTCTATGCTTCAGGTTTGTCATGTCGCCCTCTATTGTTCTTTTCTGACCATGGTAGACCAAAATAATGATCATCAAAAATTGATCGAAATCAAGTTTGCCTAATCTTTCTGATTTTTTTTTTGGGGGGGGGGGGGTGTGGGGTGGGATTATGACAATGCTGATTTTTTTTTTTAAATCCTGTTCAACAAATCACTATGCTGTCTTAACACTTCAGAGTTTTCTAAACAACTCTAGGGGCTTTTGGAGGATGTTCAAGATTCAAGATGATTCCTGAAAAAAGGGGGGCTGTGGATGTGTTAAATTAAACCATGTGTGTAGTCAGTTTTGGTTGCAGGTGTTAACAAAACAATAAACATGTAATTATAACAGTTACTCCCTTTGGTCTTCACCCACAGCCACACTCCTGTGGTCCTCCCCCCCCCCCCCCCGGCCTAATCACTCCTTTGTGTTACTCCTTCCACCCTTGCATGCTTGTGTGTCCCCTCCTTTGTTTCTGTACCCCTGTCATGTTACCTTTGACAAAGGTCCTGTTAGGATTGAGACATTCGGCCCTCGAACTTGTTAGATTTGTCAATCCAGTCAGTAAGCAGTTTGCAAAAGTTTTATTCATTTCCCAGTTTCTTAAGGAGTTTATTTAAAGTCACAAGTGCATTTTGTTTGTTTGTAGGCGTGCCTATCTCCATACAGTGGGGTGTCCAGGGTTATTTCTATGCCATCCAGGTCTCTCAGTTTGGTCTGAGTCATTACAGCAAGAACCTGACTGCCAAGGAACCAAAGGTCAAAGTCTTTGAGAATGGTGAAGAAGGTGACGTGGAGAGGTGGAATCTCGCCGATCGAGCCAGTCGTATTTCAGCGTTGTACGACGACGACGCGAGGTCAAATGTCATAGAGTTTCAGACAAGCGGTAAGTTACGTCACGTGGCACTACCGTGATGACATCATCATTTGTGCCACAATTTTTGGTTGGATTTCAAGCAAGAGTCATTTGGATTGGATCGGTGTGGTTACAAGAAAATGGGAATGTACATTGGTTACCAGCTAAAATGTGATGTGATCAAGCTACATGAGTTGTTTGTCGGGAACTTTCATTTGGAGATTCAGGCCAAAATAGGGCCACTTCATCACATCACTTCATCACATCTGTTGGCGTTCCGACATCCTTAATTTTTGAACTAAAGATGGTACCAGCATACGGTTTTCACGTCAGTAATGCTGAGATTGTGCTCTTTTCAAAACTGGTAAAAAAAAAAATTGACAAGGGTCGACAAACGACTCATTTAGCTTTATCGCATCACAAATGTCTGTTTGCATATATGTATGTGTTGTGTTTGACTGGTTCTCTGCCAAATTTAACTCTATGATTTTGGGATGTTGGCTCTGACTATGTGTTTATTCAAGTTTGACTTGTCTTTTCAAACTGAGCTCTGAGTCTAATTTTTATAAAACATTCTTTTGTTGGAAAGATTACTGTCAATTTGAACTTTTCAAAAACATAATACATATTGGGGAATAACAACTTCATTTTGTAGAACCTGTGCAAGTCAGAGTTGTGGAAAATTTGTCTTGAAAAACCTGTCCTTTCAAAAAGAGGAGTTTTAGATATTTACATAATTCTGTTTCAGCTTAATTTTTGTTTTTTTCCTGACAGAAACGTTATCCCTTGGACAAGGAGCAACTCTTCCCCTGACCAACAGACGCTTGTTTGTCCTCTCCTTTGATTTAATCCTGATGGGCAACGCGACGATCACTGTCACCGTCCAGGACGAAAAGGACAAGACGCACAGTATTCATTACATGGCCATGGACGACAAAGTGGTCCATAAAGGAAGCCACATCTACTATGGGATAGGACCAAGCCGTCACTGGCGTAGAATCACCCGAGATTTATTGATAGACTACCAGAAAGGTCTGGGACAAACCAACAAGAAATACGTGACAAATATTCAAACAGTACTAGCCAAAGTACTTAAATTCACAGTACACGGTTCCGGTCGAATCGACAACGTGACGTTGTCCTCGTCCAGCCACATGGCGCAGTTTTTCGACGCCGCTAACTGGTTACTTAAGAACCAGGACAGTCAAGGAGGCTGGCCGGTAATGGTGGAGAGATTCTTAGGAACGGGGTTCCAGACTTTGTCGCCTGGTTGGTACTCTGCCATGGCCCAAGGCCAGGCTATTTCAACCCTCATCAGGGCCTACTACAAAACAAAAGACAGGAGTTACTTGGACGCTTGTTTAAGAGCGACCAAACTTTATAAGATGCCGTCATCGGAAGGCGGCGTGAAAGCCATACTTTTTGATAAGTACACATGGTATGAGGAGTACCCTACCACTCCTAGTTCGTACGTCCTCAATGGATTCATCTATAGCCTGATTGGCTTGTACGATCTCGTGAAGATCGCCTCGCCTGAGGAAGGCCGCGAGGCCGCACAGCTCTTCGAAGATGGAATGCGGTCCCTCAGAAAATTCCTCTTGCTGTTTGATGGAGGAACGGGTACCATCTATGACTTGCGTCACGTGACTCTAGGACGAGCGCCAAATCTTGCACGGTGGGATTACCATGCGACTCATATCGCTCAGCTTCAGCTTCTAACGTCTATTGATTCAGATCCCATCTTTAAGACGACCCTAGATCGATGGCTGGGCTACACTAAAGGCGTCAGAGCAAAACACAACTGATGAGGTGGGTAAATCGTGTCATTAACTGTCACTGTCCTGCTGATTTTTTTCTTAGAAGCCTAAAGGATGCACAGATCATGTAGTAAAGCAAAATATGAAGAAAAAACAAAGATTAAGGAATGATGGACACAGAATTAAAAGGAAAAAGATCAGTTTTGAAAAAAAAATCAACTAAAGTTGTTCAAACAATGTGACTCCTGGCTTCCTTCTTTTGATAAAATTGAAGAGTATAAACATCTCTTGGAGTGGAAAAAAGGTTCTGAAAGCTTTCTCTCAAATTGTGAGGATAATGTGTACTTTATCTGTAAACACTAAGTCAGACTTTGTTGCAATGAATCCTTCAATTTCCTATGGGGAACAAAAGTAAAACTTAAAAAGAACCTAAATAATACTTTAAATATGCATGAATTTTCAAAAGTCACTTGGTAATAATTTAATAATTTTGGACATAAACCCTGACTCACTACTTACTTTTACTAAGAAGAAGACCATGTCCATCAAAATCCATCACTCACTCTGATTCACATAATGCTTCAGGACCAAATCCATTGAAATCCACCACTGGCGCTGGTGGATTTTGATGGACTTGGTACACGTGGTTTACATGTATCTGCCAAAATCCCCCACAATGGGGAATGGACGTAGATGGAGTTGGTAAGGTTAGGGTTAGTATGTAACAAATATCCAAATTGGTCGTAATGTATATTGAAAGATTTTCAGTGGTGAGGCTAATGTGTTAAATCGTATCCCTTCCAAGATGATCTCCCCTCCCAAGAAAAACTTCAAGACAAGACTTCATGATAAGGCCAAAACAAAAAAATAGTCGGTCTCTGGTCAGCGCGTGAGTCGATTTTAATTATGCGCGTCAAGCTTTTTTTTTTTCAAATTGTCCGCGGTAGCTACAACAGCGATCTCGATTGCTGCACCACCTCAAAGTTTTGTACCAAGGAATGGGGAAATTGCACAAAGGCAAGTGATGGAGGGCACCAAGGCAAACGATGGAGGACACCAATGGATATGAGGACACAAAAAAGCAAAATAGTACCCACCTTGTCTGTACAATCCAAGCTTAAAAAAAGAAGAAAAAAAGCCAAAAAGAAAAAAAACCGCGTCACCGCATCAATTCTGGAACTTTGGTCTGACCAGAGACCGACTATTTTGTTTTGTTTTGGCCTAATAAAATTAACTGTTGAATGTTCTCATTTTAGATGATAAGACAAGTCCGTGATGCCCAGATCATCTCTGGATCAGCAAACAGTCACTACCACTGCCATTGCCTAGTGCATGAGACCTCGGGATGCTGGTGAGTCAATCATCACTCTGTCTATGCCATTAACATTCTTTGTTGTAACGACTAGCAAGGCAAACATGGCCTGTATGCAGGAGGGCATTGCTGGAGTTTAGCAGACATTATTGGAAACACTACTTTTGTCGCATTCATCTGGAATTCACATTACCACCACTCCAGCGTGACTCTAAATAACTCTCATGAGGCTTATGAAATCCGGCCTCTTGAAACTGATGACCCTGGAGATTTAATGACTGAATTCCTCCGTTTCCACTCTCTTCATACACGTCAATATCAGAAATAGATTTATCAGACACAAAATATCGATAGTGTAATGAGAATCAGACCTCGAAACAGAGCAGAAATTGAAAGAATATGTGTACGTGTAACATGTGTGTATTATAAAACTAAAACTAATATGAAAAATGTAAAACTATGAAGTATTTTTTTCTTCTAAACAACATTCTCTTCATCAGTCCCAAGTTATTTATTTATTTATATTTTTGGCCTGCAAAACTCTAGTAAGGGCCTGATTGCTCAGAGTAATTACGTATCACTGATAATGTTCGCGTAATACTTTACGACCATGAAATGTGTTGAGGTCATTCAAATTGAGTACAGGTATGTCATTTAAAATTTATTGATTGAACGGGTAATCCCTGATGATTAATTAATCCTACATTTGTAACTCCCTAGGGTGATTTACTAGGAACCTTCCTCATCCTTGCAAATCCCAACACCATATGGTAAATTGTGCACATAAACAGTTGGACTCTGTTTATTTGTGGTATGCCTAAGTTAAGGAGAATACACGAGAAAGTGTGAATTCGTAAATTAAGAATCCACACTTGCGAGTGTATTCTTCGACTTAAACCATTGCGTCAAAAGAAGTATTGGAAAGAATGTTGCAACCTGATGCCACTTTTTTCTTCATCATCTCAATGAAGGTCATTCGTTGCAAAAATGATGATAAGTCATGAATCTGGGACTGAGAAATGTTTCCAATTTTGTTAGGAAATACTTGAAATGACTCTCCATAGACTTTGTACACAAGCGCGGAAGTGGTGTCAGGTTGCAACATTTTTCGCCACACCCGGACAACCAAGTCATTTTGTGTGTACAGGCTCCTTACTTCAAAATGGATAGTTTAGACGACGATTTCTTTCTGACTAAAAGTAGTTTTTGCAGTGACGGCGAAGATCGGACTGTGAAGATGCATTGGTAATTTTCGGAAAGCAAATTTGCATGCAGACGGTCCTTTTCATGCTCATTATGGAGACAACTGTCCGACATTCAAAGTGTGGCACACTTTACTACATATTCGTCGTTCCGAATCCACACTTTGTGACCAGTGTAAGAGATTCGTAGATCCGAATCCACACTTTTAACAATATTGTGACGTCATAGCAATGGTTTAATCCCATTTAAAGCAGAGTCAGTTTTACCAGTGCAGTACTCATCCTAACGGATTCCAACAGACCCTGGTGTTGGAGTTTGGCTGGCTGGGGATCGTTAGGGACTTAGGGTCAACTTGTGATTTTTAGCGATGCAAATTGCATCAACAACAAAACATGACTTCTCTTTTTTTAATTTTTTTAATTTTTTTTTAAATTTTTGCACATATTGAAGTAGTGATGATGGAGCAATATGTTCATCCATCACCAATGACTTTGAAATCAACATCTTGATAATTGAACAGAAATGTTTGACATTTAATCATTTTGTGTTGAAACTTTGGTTTTAATATATGTACGGTGTCGGTGGTGTGTTTTTAACATAAGTTGTACTGTATGTAAAAATCTTAATGCAGGGTATTAAACATTACTAATTAATGTGTGAATGGACCTCTTGCATCTCACGTCACATCTGAGACGAGCCTTTGGTCATCGATGATACACTTAAGTAGACAGTCTGTACTGTCATTGTCACTGAATTGAACAAGAACTTCTCTTGAGAGGGCGCCCTTTGCAAGGGGTCTATTTGGCCCAGTAAAAAAAAAAAACAGTTTCTCGTCTGGCTTTTTTTTTTTGTAAATGAAGGAGGTGGGTGGGTTTTTTTCTTTTCTTTTTTCTCCCCAAGACGGTAGAGTTTCCAAGATAGCGATGGATTCTTCCATTAACTCTTTTGCCGATACAAAATTGTGTCCAAGGAGCTGTAACCCTTTCTCTGTAGTTACAATTTTGTTGGAAGCAAATAAAAAGACAACATATTGACAATATATATGCAAAGTATATTGCAAATGTATGAATTAAAGAAAAACAAACAAGGAGGCGGGTGTGAAAAAGGAAACAGGTGGGGACAAGAAACTGTTTTTTTTACTTGGCCTCACTTGCACATGTATAGACTTAAGATGTGATGTAAAATAGTTTTGAAGTGGCAAGTGCATAATGCATTGTGTACCCTTTCAATCTGTGTATATATATATATAAATACTTTTTAATTTGGACAATTGTTTTTGCAGCAATCTTTAAGCACAATGAATGATTCAGGTTTAACTGCCTATCCTCCCACTTTTGAAGTTCATAAACATAAATGTGTAATAGCTTTAAAAAAGGGAGTAATTTGCGAGATTTAGATTTGTCAATTTTTTTTTCTCCGGATTTTAGTATTTTTTTGTTAAGGATTTCCCTGTTATCTAGATTTTGAAAGAATCTACATGTAGGTCAACTCTCCCCCCCCCCCCCTCCCCTTTGATAATCTCAAGAAGCAAGCCAAATTTTGTTCCTATTTTTTAAAGTAGTCATGAATGCTTTTATATAGTTTATGAATAGTGACAAATGACATTATCAGTACTCCTACCTACACATTGTACATACACAGTGTACATCAGTAGACCTACATTTCTGTACTCATTAAATGCATTAAACTGCAGTTTAGTTGCGCACCCAGGATTTGGCACGGGGGGGGGGGCCTCACAATTTTTTTGCCCAACATTTTTTTTGCCGCAGAAAAAAAAAAGGTTTTTTTTGGGGGGGGGGCCGACTATTTTGACATTGGTTTCGCCACTTACACCCCTATTATACTACTCGAAAATAGGCCACATACATTATCACCAAGGTCAAATTGTGGGACTAGAAAAAACAAATTGACAACCTCTTGGGGCTCAAGCCCCCCCCCCCCCCCCCAGGTGCGCCACTGCTGCAGTTTAAATTCGGATCAGTACACAAGAAAGTTTAATCTGTACTAACTTGCTTTCAAACACAAAAACGTACTCTTATCATTTGACATTTGTAATATGTAATACCAAAGGTTTGTACCAAACAGATTGAATAAAAAGTCTGCAATGTACGGTATGCAACTCAATCATTCAAAAAGAATTTCCCCTAAATGCCTTCAAAAGGAGATATTTGTAAATCACTGAAATAACTCTCGATATCTAGAGGATGAAGTACTGGAACTCAAACTTAAGATTTTGCTTTCTGAAAATGGTATTGTTCTTGTGCACTTAAAACCAAAATAAATGTGTCAGTGTCTTTCGTGTGAAAATTAAAAAAAATAACCTAATGAATATAAAATCATCTCCCCATGTTAGAATGCACTGTACATATTTGTTTAATGTGTCACATTCTGTGTCTTGTAATTTTAGTTTATTTGAGTTTTTGTACAGTACTAATGCAATCAGACAGTTTTCGTTTATTTTAAATCTTATTTATCTTACCTGAAACAAAGTATCTTAACAGTAGATAAAGCTCCCATTTCAAATATAGTTATTCAAAAAAAAAGGTGAGAAGTGTGCTAGAAAAAAATGTGTTGGACCTTGAAATGTACATTTTCTATATCGAAGTATTTAGTAATCGGTGGTGGTGTAAGTTTTGTTTGTAAAGATGGGGCATGGTGGACCCCAAAATTAGGTTAGGTGGTAACATGGTGTAGAATTAACAATGTGATTTTATTAACATCCCCCCATATCTGTGACATCCTTCCAAGGGGGTTAAATTTGTACCATTTATTAACCCTTGAACTCCCTTGGCAGTTTTGCTAGGATGTAACCTCAATTCCGAAAATCCTCCAACTGCCTCCATGTAAAAAAAGCATACAACCTCAATCCTGCAAATCCTCCGTTATTTCTTGAATGTGATCCTTGGAGGGGTGACCACTGCATCAATCCTGCAAACTCCTCCAGCAATCACTGTCAATATGTTGAGGCACAGCCAGTGACATCCTGGAGCGGTGCGGAGGATTTCAAGTGTAATAAAGCCCTAAATTTATGCATGGCTGAGCATAAACAACACAAGGCCTGGCCTAAGACCTTGACACAGCGCATCCTCCGAAATCAGCCACACGCTTTTGCCATATAGCCTCCTGCAAAATCCTCCTTTTTGCAAAGAAGATTTTGGAGGATTTGGGTAGGGTTAAAGGTATATCAGATAATTTGCCTTTCGTGCAGTTTGTTGGTTTCCAATAATAACACCACTCAAAATTTGAAATCGCAATTCTTGATTTCTTCCAAATGACAGCAAGCCAGACGGAATAATTTCACGGGGTGCTTTGTTACAACTGATAATGTAGTAACCAACGGATAATGTATCACAAACCGATAATGTCACACAAATTGACCGATACTGTATCACCCGATAATGTATCACCCGATAATGTAACAGAAATTGACCGATAGTGTAGTAAATGTTACTACACTATCGGTCAACATTTGTTACATTATCGGTTAAGACCGGTTAAGACCGATAATGTAACAGCATCGACCGATAGTGTAGTACATTTTTAGTACACTATCGGTCAATTTCTGTTACATTATCGGTTAGTGATACAGTATCGGTCAATGTGTGTGACATTATCGGTTGGTGATACATTATCCGTTGGTTACTACATTATCAGTTGTAACATGCTTAGTATACCGGTATACGATCTTTAATCCAAGTAAGCTGTTAAATTGTTAGGTTAAATGCAAGTGATCATGTATGCCTTTAATGCTTGTAGGTGCACCCTCCCAAAAATATGGACTAGAAGAATTTCAAATTGACATTGAAACCGAGAATCTCAATCCTCTCTTTTGTAGTGAGAATTAAAAAAACAAAAACACAATTGTCGCCGAGAATTAAAAAAAAACACCCGAATTGTCTCCGATGTCGATACAATGTCCTTCTTGGCAAAAGAACCTCAGCTTAGATGGTTATTTGAAATGTGTCTTATGGAATTGAAAATTTAGGATAAATGTGCACATTGTAATTATAGTTCATAAAATGATGGGCTTGTCATGAACAAACGGTATTTTCTTCTTGTTTGGGGTTGAGAGTGGAGGCATTTAAGTTGTGTGCATTCACGGCGTGCAAATCTATTCTATTTATTTACTATGTACAGGGTGTCATGGCATTAACATTGACTTGTACAGTACTAGATATACTGTAGAATTAATGTGATAGGTTGCTCGAAACCATAGTATGTAAGCACACATGCAAAGGATACTATTGCACTCCTGTGTGGTTGAAGATATTAATGTACATGAATTGTAGATATAAGTTTGAGTGATTTAAGGTTTGAAAGAATTGTTGCAACGTTAATATGATCATAATCCATTGTTAAAATGTTCCCTGGAAAAGTGCACAGAGTAAACTTTAAATTCCACAAGCAAATAATCCTGATCAACATCGTTTTAAACGTCAATTTTCCAGGAAGATATTCATATACGGGGAATTTTTAAGCTTGGTGATCGCATTGACAATGTGTTGTGTATCTCATTATACCTGCATCTACGGACTTCTAATGTGGTAGCATACTGGAGATGGGAAGGCCCGCTATATTGGTAAAGGTATCTTAGTCATATTCGCGCATGCGTGGTCTCAGACCTCTTGCACCGTGCAGAACGTTGTTTTTACGCCGACACATGCATGGCCTTCAAAACTGATTACCAAAAAAGAGAGCTGTGCACGTTTTGTCTTGATGTGTGCCATTCATGCGTAATTGTACATCAATTTCATTGTGGGTATACTTAGGATACCATCTCGGTATAAAAACATGAATGATTAACTCCTCATTAAGCAGTTAACCACATAGCGGCTGTTTACTGCAAGAAATTAACTGACATTACATTGTAACTGACTGTATGGACTAAAAAATAATCCAAGCTTAAAAACAACGACAAAATGCTTATTTCACAAAAGTGTACCTACGCATTAATGGCCAATAGCGGGTTGTACTATTACATTTTTACTAAAACGAACTTCGAGATTCCAGATTCGTCGAGTCTCGCGGAATCTCATCAAAGCTCGACGAATCTTGGTAAGATTCAAACTCAAAGTTCAACAAGTCTCGCCGAGTTATTGTAATAGGCGAGGTTGCTTTGCCGTCCCTATAGATGTAAACATTACTGTTCTTAAACCCGTCCTAATTATACATGTAGTGTAATGTCATTTGTATTTCAGTGAATTGATGTTTGTGTTATTACGTACAGACTATTCACAGCCTACTCGCCAATTAAACGTCGTACATACACCATTTAGTAGATACAGTGTACATGTACAGGTCAACGGAGTAAATATACTTACATATTGCATTATTTTAAGTGTAAAGTACTATTTTGTATTAATCATGAAATTAAAATCATATTTTAAACTAAACTATAATGTGTTCCTTCTGTTATTAAGCTGTCCGTCTTTAAAAACAAATTTTAATTTTGAGTCAAATTTCAATAAGCCACAGGGCGGAACGTTTCACATAGAATTTTTTCATATTTAGCTGAAATCCAGTTTCAAGCAGAAACCACTGTGTCAATGGCATGTCAATGGCATTCCATTTTGGCCGCTAACCAATTCTTGCTCCAACTGAAAAATAAATTTCAGCTTAGCATTTGACGTCCATGCATGAAACAGCCGTATAAACTCATACAACAGTCGAGTTCGTTATTCCATGTCAATTCCAGCGCTGTATATGTAATACGAAGTGACATACCAGTAAAATATATAACGATTCAAAAATGCAATTTTTACCAGATGAAATAAAAAGAACTCATAATCTTCTCGGCTTTGCAGGTCTGCTGAATAATGGAATTAACCAATCAACCCTTTCTAAACAGACTCGATTATTAAAACAGAAAGGTATTTCGATTCACCATACCTTTTTGTCTGCCTGCCTATATTAAATATTTGAGTCATTTTCGAAGATTAATTGGCAGGAAATGAAGAGACTTATTGTGTTTTGAAAATTCCGTGGCAAACGCAAATAATTTACAGTTGATCAGCTGCTAAACTCAAACAGATTATTGTTGCTCCATTATCATGATCCAGACATTTTTGTTCGTATTATATGCATCCCTAGACATCACGGCTCCAAAGGAAATGAATAGTCAACCCGTTCATTGGAATGCCTTTCTTTGTTCGTCAGATATTCGGTGGGACCGTTACTTAATTAAGCTTGCTTTCTACTCATTAACTCTCTCCCGGCAACGGATAGTAAACACGGATGACGTAAAGCTGTACCGTATACCGTACCGGACGGTAGCCGCATTCAGCCCCAGTAATTTTAATCGAATCGTGATGACCTTCCCGCCTTTACGCGCCCTGTTTCCCTGGATTTGCAGCTTTAATTGAAATCACACTTGACGGGGACGAAAATCAATCCCAACTTTCGTCCTCAGGTGAACAATTGACTCGGAGCTTTCACCTGATTATTAACGAGGTTGTTGATGGCGAACAATTTTTTTTGTAAGAGAGTCCCATTTTGTTTTTGTTTTTTAATGCGCGCTTAAATAATTTAACTCTTTTTTCTCTTACACTTTATTTTCCAGCGCCCCCGCAATGAATAGAAGCAAGAGTTTTCGGTTCTTTCAAAAGGTCGTGACCATGGGCGTCGCCAGGATTTTTTCTAGAGGGGGGCAAAAAAAAGTTTGCCAAAAAATGCTTGTATTTCTCAACACATTCTCGATTTATCAGTTTTAGAGGGGGGCAGGGACATTTTGCCCCCCCCCCTTCCAACTCATTAAATTTACACCACTTTGTCTTCGCGCCTCTTTTTTTTTTTTTTTTTTTTTTGCTTTTCCGGGGGTGGGGGGGGGGGCAAGTGCCTCCCCTTGCCCCCCCCCCCCTCGCGACGCCCATGGTCGTGACGTATAAATTTGAACGGATAAATTTGAACGTTTGCATTTTGGAAAGCGCAATAAGAACAAGCTCAGGTTTGCACCTAGACCTATAGTGTGAAGCAAATTCCTTGTGTGAGGTTGTGAGTTTCTGAAGAACAACCGGGGGAAATTCGGACAGTGCATCTGCGGCTCTGCCCGTCCTCTGGAGACGTCTAATAGGACCTGGGGGGGGGGGGGGGGGTAAGGGGGTATTTACCCCCTCCCCTCATATTTTTTTAAGACTGCCTTTTCCCATTCAAGTGCCTTTTTTCACAAGCGTCCCCCCTCCCAATTTTTTTAACTGACTGACCTTTTTCCGAACACGTGCTCTTTTTGTGTCGCCCTGAAAAGCGCCATGTCTCCGTTAGTGTGCATAATAAAAAATCGTCTGTTTTGAACAACGTCCCCATCTGAAGATGGTACCCCCCCCCATCCCCACCCCTCATCCCCCTCCCCCTATCTGATTTTGCGGAGGCCAAGTGTGCGGAGTAAAAAACAAACCTGTCTACATTTTGTGCGAATATAATCTAAGTACATTTTTAAACCTGGGCCTTTTAAAATCGAAACATCACGGCCGGTATTTCCCCTTTTTATTTTTTTAGTTATTTTCAATTATTATTATTTTTTTTGTGTGTGGTTTTTTTTTCCTTTCAAAATTAAGCTTATTGACTGCGACTCGTTGGTGACCGGGCATTGATAATTGGCAATGAAGTTCTGGGCGTAGCACTGGCACTTATTGTAATGCACTGCTTGGCATGTACACACAACGCCTTTGTTATTGAAATGTTTGGTTTTCGATGACCTTGATGTACAAGTCCTACACACACCGCTTATATCGTGTGCTTCAACAAGTTCGATATACTTTCAACACAATGTACGATCAACACAAATTGAACCACGCATGAAGAAAATGTGTCTCCACAGTGAGTGCTGTTAATAGTCGCTGAGGCAATGTACCTACGTCTGTTTTACTTCATGGAGGTAAATCAATACCCTATCTCATGGATAATGACTTCACCGTTTGTAATTAAATGGGTCCTTCAGCAAAACGGGAAGTACGCTCAAACAGTGTCAATAAATTATGACTGTTTACTGCTATGATGCACGGTGCGTACTTAAGCTACACAGCGCAGCAATCTCCATGCGGCATTACCAGGGATGGCAAACAACATCATCAGTCGATTACTCATCGCCATGGTGACTTAATTAATTCGTAATTAATTCCGCGTCGTACCGCAGATTTTATTCATTCACCAGCCGACTTATGCCGATGTAAAGCGCTCAACGCGCCACTGATGGACCAATCAACAGTCGATGCATCAGGTGGAATCGTTGCACATTACATCGTAGAGGTACGACCATATAGGCACACTGTTTCGTAGCCCATGGTAGGACGTACCATTGTCTCACATTCATTCATATGTGCCTTTGCCAGTTGCAGTCGCCTGTGGACATGTAAGTTCAGATTTAACACCTTTATATGATTTTCTTTTTTTCTTGTGAAGTTCACTCTTCACAACCTTTTTTTCAAACCACACGAGTGACAGACGTAAATGACGAATGTTTCAGTGTAAAAACCTTTCCAGAGATAATTTTAGAAAAATGGTGCCCGCATGTTTTATTAGTGGCGCCGTTTCGACTTCCTTAAACCTAAATTAAGGACATAATTATGTTTTTCTTTATAGGTTGTCTAGTCGAGCACATGACGACATTAGGCCACAAACCTCAATTTCACAAACCATTCGGAGTTGTTACTGTTCAGATAGATTACTATCGATCAAAAAGAAATTAATTTACGTTTTTCTTTATCGGCTTCGCAGCATCTGTTTGAAGAGCCAACAGTTTGCACTGACGACGCCAGATACATCTGTCGTCTACGCATATCAGAGGTAAGCGTGCTCACCTCTCCCTTTTAATATTGACAGATTTTCCCCCAAATCAACCTGACAGTTGTGCTGACTAAGTAAAGGTTTACAAAAAAATACGTTAAAAATAATTTACACGCCGTTAATAAGCCTTTAGTCCACTTCACTTGATTGCACTCCCAATACTGTAAAAACGTTTTGTTGCATTTGACTAGAAAATGTGCAACTTGCACACACTGCAGCTGACTACGGCATGGGTCGACTCAGCTGGGTGAAAGTTGACTACAGCCTGTCTCAAAAAAAAATGGTACAATCGTTTTGAGCATCACATTAAAGAAAAAAGACCAGGCTTTCCAATACTTTTTGTTTCATCTCAATTGCTTTTGTCAATCCAGAGATAACTCCAGTTTACTGCGGAACACAAAAATCGAGTTTGTTTCTTTTGCCAAGTTGCAATCTTTTGTGAGCTTCAAGACAGCATGGCACAGTACTCGAAACAACTCTGCCCATGCATAAAAGTGGCTCAAAATGTTGGTGTATCGCACTAAATTGATTATATATCTGAATTGACAAAAGCAAATAAGATCAAACAAACACTATTGGAAAGCCCAGTCTTTGTTCTTTAATATTATGCCAAGTAAGAATGACTTATTTTGAAAATTCATATTTAACCTTTTTTTTTCTGATTGTACCATTTTTTTGGAGACAGGCTGTATGTTCTAGTCAAATTTAACCAGAGTGTTTTCATAGTGAATAGTGGGTGTATTTCGCTATAAACGTATACATATACGTTTATTTTGACCAACGTCCTGTCTGAGTATTATTTGTTCAAGACTTTATTTACGTCAGATAGCCATGATGGCAAACCGTGTTATTAGCATTGGGACGGATAAATTGACTTTTTCCTTTGCCTGCAAACATCCAACGTGGATTGGCATACATTCTGCAGCACTAAACAATGGCAAACATTTACGTTATGGGGCTCTTTTAAACAAAAACTTGACCTAGTACGGACTGCACAAATAGTTGGAGTTGCTCGATTTGTTTCAATAACATGTAGCCTAGTGATAAACTGTAATTGTTAACTGTTGATGCGCCCTGAGCTTGCACCACTCACTACTCACTGAGAAAAACAAATCAAACATCTGAATGGTCTTTGCAAATGATAAAAGAACTCCGCAATAATGATTAAACCTTTTCTGAAGAAGTGATCTTGTTTATACATTTGTTTATTAGATCACGTCTACTTCATGAGTATCCCTTTTTTTATTCAATTATTTCTACAGGACAGATAAATAAGACTTAATAAACTGGTACATGTAGGGCCTACATAGTCTATACAGTTTATACACGGCATACATTAGGCCTAATGTTAGATCAGCACAAAGAAAAACGACCACACAAATACGGGTTCATTGTGTGGAATATTTTTTTTTCAAACAGGGAAACTGACAAGGTGAATTATGACAATTGAAAAGAGTTTGGCATATTGTTACGCTAGTTGTTCGTGCCATGCGCATTCCCTCCCGTATTCGGAAGTCAATTGAGTTCATAGTTGCGTGGTGCTTGCACAAACTGAATTGCGCAAAATAGCGGACACAATGAGTAATCGTGATATATTTAAGGACATAATTATACATTCATCTTGAAAACAGGATTTATTTAACTATGAAAGGTACCATGTTCGTGGAAGTCTGCAGGTTGTGGGTTCGACTCCAGCCAATACTGAAAAAAAAAAAGATTCCGAAGGATGCTTTTTGATGTTTACTGTTCATTCTGTAATGTTTTGTCAAAATATCAAGTTTATCAGTATCAGGTACGAGTAGGCCCTAGAACAAAATGCTTGAACATTATTTAGCGATACATTTGAAATCAGTTTAATTTAATCAAAGTAAAAACTAAAACAGAAAAGCAATAATATTTCAAGTCCACAGCCATGTCACCCACGTCAGCCATGTCATGACAAAAATTAAACATTTCCATGAAAAAAAATCCTGAAATGTTCTTGGTGTTAATGCAGTCCAGTTCAATTTTAGCGCCTGAAATTAGGTTTAGATTTAATGTAGGCCAACCATCGACAGATCTACGGCAAGACTAATAATAAGTAACATTTATATAGCCCCAAAAATCCATTATATGCTCTTAGGCGCTGTACACATTTAATAGATAAAGAAAATATCCATTAAAAACCTGCCTAGGAATTAAAAAAAGCTGCTTAAAAAGGCATAGAGTAACGTAACACATTAAAAAAATACATTATAAACCCAGCTATTAAAAACCATTACATATGATTTAAAAGAGCCTGCTTTAAAAGTTATAGATCAATACATTAAAAAACAGAGTACCCCGACCATTAAAAACCATTTCCTATGAATTAAAAAAAGCCTGCCTAAAAAGGCATAGATAATACATTAAACATATATATATAAACCAAGCCATTAAAACCATTACCTATGAATTAATAAAGCCTGCTTAAAAAGGTATAGATCAATACATTAAAAATACATTAAAAAGCCAGCCATTAAATACCATTACCAATGAATTAAGAAAGGCCTGCTTAAAAAGATGAGTTTTAAACCCGACTTAAACTCTGTACACTGGCAAACTCCCTAAGGTAAATTTCAAGCTGGTTTCACAGGCGTGTAGAACGGTAAATGATCAGTGGTGGACAGCTAAATTTTGTGATCTAAATTTGTGATGTTGTTGGAATCTTGAAATAAAATTTCACACAAATGAAAAGTTTTGGAAAGAAAATAATTCCATCTTATGAAAAGAAAAGGTTTGCTTTACACCAATGACAGGAAGCCGACCAATGCACTCGTCCGTCCAGCAAAGGTCATCGGCCTTTTATTGTAATGTCCGGTTGACGTGTTTCCCGGTCACTCACTTTGCATCCTTTCAAAATTAATATGTCATTCCATCTTTTATGGTAAAATGAGATCACATGCCTCGGATCGGATTCAACAAAAGTATGCATTAAGGCACCGTACGTGGTCTGCGTCCGTCGACCTGTATCCATGCTTAAAACGAACGATTCCGATGCAGGCTATTTCGATCAAACTTTAGGCTATACTAGTTGGTTTTATGAAAATCAATTTCAGTTTCGTGGTTCTAGCTAGGCTATACCACACTGCTGACAAAAATACTAATGTAACTCTTGGTCTTCACACAGCATGTGATACTGCATCGTTGCTTTGGTACATGGTTTGAGCCTGAGTCTGCGAACAGCTTATCTACGGTATGTATGTATGTATGGATTGATTGATTGATTAATTGGATGCTACATAATTTTTAAGTTCGCTTGATTGCTAGCTAAAATAAAGATGCAACGGATTAAGAATTAAACATAAAATTATACATTAAACATTAAATATTAAATATAAAAAATATAAATTTACGAGCAAAAGGGGAACAAAATACCTTTTCAATTGATTTAAATGCGGCTCTTAAAGAAAAACGAATGAACTGTCAATTATTTTGTGAGTGTACAAGTGTTCAGACTTTTAGGCAAAACAGGTTTATTCGACTATGCACGTCTGTATGTGTGTAGTGTACGTTGCAGAAACCACGATTTGGCATGAGAGAGGTAGCCGGTGGAAGCTGAGCCTGGTGGCTTGCTGGCTGGCTAGCAGGCTGGCCTGCATGCTGTCTAGATGGCTGGTTGGCTTGCTGACTAGAAAGCTGGTTGGCTGGCTCGCCGGCTCCCGGAAGGCAGGCAGGCTGCTGGCTGGCCGGCTTGCTTGCTGGTTGACTAACTGCTCCCCGCGAACTGGCTTGCTATAGCTAGCTGGCTGGATGGCCGGCTAGCTGGTTGGCTGGCTGGCTGGCTCCCCGGAGGGCAGGCAGGCTGCTGGCTGGCCGGCTTGCTTGCTGGTTGACTAGCTGCTCCCCGCGGACTGGCTTGCTATAGCTAGCTGGCTGGATGGCCGGCTAGCTGGTTGGCTGGCTGGCTGGCTGGCAGGCCGGTTGGCTGGCTGGCTGGCTTTGCTGACCGGCTTGATGGGTTGCATGCATGCTGGCTGGAAGGCTTGCTGGCGCTAACAGGCTTGCTGGTTAGCATACTTGGCTGGCTTGCTGGCCGACTTGCCGGCTAGCAGGCTGGTTTGGCTGCCTTGGCTGGCTGGCTGGCTGGCTGGTTGGTTGGCTTGCTGGTTGGTTAGTTGGTTTGCTGGCTCCCTTTCTGTGTAGCTAGCTGACTTGCAAGCAGGCTGGTTGGCTGGATTGCTGGTTTGCTGACTATATCAGGCTTGCTGGCTAGCAGGCGGGTTTGGCCGCATGGTTAGTAGGCCTGCTGGCTTGCTACCTTGATGGAAGGCTCGAATGTCAGCGGGTAGTAACAAAGTTTTTTTTATGAATAATTGTTAAGTTCTGTCATTCCACTTAGGCTAGAATATGGATGCCAACGAGTCTGCATTTGGGTGCGTGGCCAACGCCGACATCCCTTACGTGGAGACAGCCATCTGGATACATGCTTATGTCTTCGCCAGCCTCTTCATCCTTCTCGTGGTAGTATCATCTTTCACATCTTTCAGGATGTTCCGCGAAAAGCGCAACGTAAAATTCCTATTGACTGTCGAAATTCTCATGATTATCTTCGGACTTATGAGGGCGCTATTCCTCCTTGCCGATCCCTACCGCGTCCGCGAGGTGTTACCTGCGCTTTTTGTGCAGTTTCTGGAGGATCTGGCCGTGCCGTGTCTCACGTCCGCATTCGTGTTAGTGCAGACAACATTCTGGCAACTTACTAAAATCAGGCGGCTTGAGTTTCAGCGGTTACCGGTACTAATTGGTACAATCGCGGCTCATTTTGTGCTTATAGCCGTCATTGACATTCTTGTAGTCTTCGTGGCCGGAACGTGTATGCTGCTCCTTGTGTGTCAGGCTTTGACCACCCTCTGGGGATTTGCTCTGTCGCTTGGTTTCTTCTGGACCGTGAGGAGTTTGCACATCATTGAAAGAGGACATAGGAGTACGCTGCGTACCGCGGCCGCTGGTAATTTTCACCTCCAGAAGGCGTCACAGGACCAGTCTCGTACGTCACCGAATAACTTGCCTGTGACTCTGGAGGGCGGTGTTAGTGGCGTCAGTCACTCCACGGATGTCCCAGCTAGAATTCAGAGTATATCTGTTGAGATCAACGAAAATGATAACAAGCAACAATCTGAGAATGTCTCCAATAGGACAGATTCTAGCCAGCCTAATGACAGAAAAACCGAGTTAGCGTCTAATGACGTCGTACCTCCCAGGTCATCACCAAGACGAATGAGGACCTTTGGAAGGAGACCCAATCCACTTCGTAAGGTCATGATCGTAGGTGTGATGACGTCATGCATTGGATTCCTCTGCTTTCTCCTCGGTATCTACGGAATGATTGTTTTTAACAATCCTCTGCAACCCGTGGAGGATGTGATGGGCTGGTTCGTCTACCAAACCCTTCAAAGGTATGAAGGCCCTGTTATTAAGTGTTGATACTGGTCTTAATGAGACCTTTGCGTGGTTGTATCGAGATAGGTCGAACTGGCACTAACCAAGCACAGACCCAATATAACCGTATCGCGGTAGAATCACGTCAACGCAGCTAGTGAAATATTGTCCAACTACCTGCTATATAAATGGAAGCGGACAACCTGAGCTACGTACTGAGCTATAAAAAAAAAGATAACTAGCCAATGAAATCACGTACTCTGTACACGAGATTTTAAGATGTTTTTGTGCAAATCTTCTTGCCTGCTTGCCTTTTTTTGTGCTGAGCAAACCGGATCGAATGCTTTTTCACGGGTATTAAGCGAGGAATTTTGGTATCTATAGCGCAAATTATGTCTCATCAGACACTGGGTGGCGCTATTCTTGATGCATAATGTCACGGCCGAAACGGGCGTCCAGAGTTAATGTACATACGTCTATACGTCATTATTGTTAGCATGTGCCCACGACATAGACAAAAAATTGCTCTCAACAAGAGATAAGAGGCGGCCATGATGGGGACACAATATTTTGACGGCTAAAATGAAGATTTTGTTCGGGGGGGGGGGCGGAGGATATGTCGTGCCCATGCCAAAAAAGGGTAAAACTATTAACTCGAATTTCACACCGTTTCTTTATCATCCTTTTTTTTTATTGCATCAGATCGGTGGAGTTTGGCTTTGGAATAACGCTGTCATATCTGGCTTGGCAACGGAACACACCGACTAGTAATAGATGAGCTTACGCTGCATCGGTGCCTCGTCATGAGCAAGACATATGGAGGTCCCCCATGAGAGTTGGGGAGACCTTGACTGGTTCCCGTTCCATCCAGTATCCACATTTATGGTGGGCGGGGACTAGTCTAGGGGAGACCATCAAAATGATACATTCGAACACATAAATCGCCGAAGCGCGACGACGCCTGACGCTCATTAAGCGAACACGTGCCATGGCCTAGCTTAATAAATAAGTTGTGCGTACCTCAGATCACAAAAAAGGTCAGTGTTCTTTCAGCACTTTTTGTGATCCGTGGACAGAACGAAAACGGTGGTTTTGTTTAAAACTCTGTAACTTGAAAAGTACATGAGTGATTTTAATGATTCTTGTACTAAAAGGAAGCTTATGAATTGGGCTTTCATATCCTAGATTTTAAAAGTGCTACATGCAAAACTTAACTAAAACAATGGTCCAGATATTAGGTTTTCGTTTTTTTTTGACTCACCCTGTACGGTTAACTATAGTTCGCGCCCGAACTTGCTCCAGGTTGAGCTATTGTTGGCATTTTGCCAGTATGTTGGAGTTTTGTTATTTATAAATGTATCAAATTAGCAGCAATAATATAGGTACAGTATATATACGGTGTTCATTGTTGAAAAACTTGTCATTCTATAGAATACCTTTTTGCCTTTTAAACTACATGTACCATTTTGGTAATACCGTTGGGATTTCTTGTGAAGTTAATTGATGGTTTTATTGTGTGTGGTTTCTCTCAAGGATGTTTGAGAATTGCATTGATGCATTGTTCCTCACATCTTACACAGCCTTGCCCTTGACGTTGAGCATTGGTGTAGACCGTAGTTGTGTTCGCTTTCATGAATCACGTGAACAATGCATGCTTTTTGAGTGGCTGGTCCTTGACGAATGAAATCAATGAAGGATATGTTCATTACATCAGCGCAAATGGATCGAACAACTCGGAGAGATAAAATATCGAATTGTATGTCAACAAAATGAATGCAAAATCACTGCATTCAGGCTGGTTGGCTCAACTTACTTAGGGCCTACTTAACTTAATTTTGGTATGTCGTTTAGGTACTCTGTCAGTTGATGCTGTGGCTATGTAACTTATTCAATCGATAAGATGGAGTCAGTTCTTTGAAATGACTTGAGTCAAATGAAACAATATACATTAAATTATAAAATATAATTTAAATGTCAACAATTGTTCTGTCAATTTACAGTGTTCTCCTTCTATTATAAACGAGTTTGTTTAATTCTGTTGAGAATTATAGGTACTTTTTGTTAAATAAGTTTGAAAATAGTGCAAACTTTATATATGAACTTTGGTTTCTTTCCATTAAGTTGTGGTCTGCTTGTTCTATTACAAGACTATAAGATTGGCTCGTCTATGGGCGAAATCCCTTGGGGTCAGGAGGATGGTCAGGATACCCCCTCCGACTTTCGCCCGGGATGAGCCACTTGATCACCCCCCCCCCCCCCCTTTCCTAGATTTTGTTTTTGGTTAGAAACTAATCAATGCTGATCTTGTAGCTTTACACCTGTCAAAATTAATGAATACCGGGTAGTTTTGAAAAAAAACGGAGAACAAGCATTACAAAGGCGTTAATGGATGCGACGTTTTTATGTATAAGCTTAAATGAGCGCACAAGACTGCATGTACATGTATAGTATATTAATTTTGTATCAGGAACAGCGCCCCTATTGTCAAATGGTGTCCAGCCCCCTCCCCCTCCCCGGGGTTGCAGGATGGTCCTCCCAACGGTGTAGCCAAGGATCTGACCATAGGGGCGAGTATGAGGGGGGGGAGCTGCTTGGCTACGCCGCTGGTAGGCTCCATCCATTCCTCCCTACTCGCCAATACGGAATTACGCCACTAGGCTAGTCAGTTTATAGGACTTCATTCATACTCAATGAGTCAAGTCTGTCAGTAAGTCAGACAGACAGACAGACAGACAGACAGACAGGCAGTCAGTGTATCAGTCAATCGGCAGAGGATTATAGATCGGACCTTAATTTGGGTCCGGCAATCGGTTTAAAGCATCTGCCATTTCCTCACTACTGGCGCGGTAGTGACAATAGCTTGGCGTGCATATCGCGTCAATCGTCCCTCACTTCAAAACCCTTGGGATGACCGAACTGTACTTGAGATGGAATGGTATGAATTATCTGAATGTTACATCCTAACTCAATGTACATACTCTACAGAAGTGGTTTCCCCTACCTTGCCTAGTCGCAAGTAATTAAAAAAAAATCCAAAGGTTAATGGAAAAATAGAGTATTGTCGATGCGATTGACGATAAGAGGAAGGCAAGATTTTGTTGGCATTGAAGTCCACCGAGGGAGAAAGCTTAGTCAATAATAAGATGAAAGTATGGTTTCGTAACCAGTGACAAAAGGCATGCATCCTGTCATGTTGAGTGTATGTTGTATGGGAGCAGGGGAATCTCTTTTGTATTTTTGTGAGCGGTTAGTCCGTGAAATAGTTTTAATCTTATTAAAAGTCAACGAAGGTCTATGTGCTTTTGTTCTTAGTCATGGAATGAGTTTAATGTTAGAAGTGCCCTGCGTTCAAGGCTTTTCGTGAGCTTGCGAAAAAAATAACGAGATCACTCTGACAGGATTCGAACCGTCCTGCTTACAAACACAGACAGTTTAGCCCTCGATCATTAAACCAGCCGGGGTTGACTAGTTGGTTCAAATCCAGTTTCACATCAGGAAATGCAACTCATATTTGGCCATATCTCGGTGACCGATTTGTTAAGAAGTCTTGACTAGCAAGCTGGAGGTCGTGGGTTAGAGTGTTTAAGAATTTTTTTCTCTCGGAAGCTCTCGCCGGTAAATACTTTGTAAAGTGCATACGAGAGAACCCCAAACATTACGCCGACTCAAAAAATTCAAAAAAAGTCATGAATACAGAATTTTGTACTATACTTCAGCAGTGCCCTCAATGAATAAAACTATGATGCCACCATATTTCGGCTGTAAATCACTATTTTGTTCGAGTGATGTAACTTACCAAAGTAAGGGAAGGCTTACATCAATTTGAGGGCACAGTTTCTTCTGTGGCGTTTTCGTATACATGTCATTTTTTTTGTCACACAATTATAAACACGATACACAAACACACTATTTCATGTGCCAGAACCCAACAGAACTCAACCCATGGCCCAACGGCATGTCATGATGGGAACATAACCCTTAAACCATGGGTCGGCACACCTCCAGAATCAAAGCGTTTGTTTATGGTGTACATCGAGGACACACACGTGCAATATCGTCGGTGAATCTAGGACAGGAAATCGAGAACGACCTCGATTAGAAAACCTGTACAAAACCAATGAGAGCTGTTCGGAAAAAGTTGAAGTACCAACAACTGAAGGAAAAGATAAGAGGAACAATAGTAAATCCTCGATTTACACCATAAACAAACGTGCGTGTGTCTGTATGTGTGTGCTATTTTCCATATGGTGTTGGAATTTACGGTATGGGTATGGTTCCTAGTAAATCATGCTAGGGAGTTAGTCGAAGGTACCTCCATGATATGAATGACGATGTGCACAGATGAAATTTTAGTCACGTTGCTCATGGGTTGTGTTTCATGAAAATGTTGAGACCTTGGAATACAATTATAATCTCAAGCAATTAGCTTTTGATCACTTAATGGTAACAGCCCTCAATTCTCTCTGAAAGGAGTTAATCGCATTGGGGTTTCAATGTTAATATGATAAGAAAGTGGGAAAGATGTAGGGTGGCTAAGAAAGATTCAAGGTAAGGCTATAGATTGGAGCGGAGTGTCATCATCCGATGAAAACATCTAATCATTTACACACATGTTTTCAACGGTTGATATACATGAATGTGTTACCATTCAGCACTCCAGCCAGACTCAAGAACCATGGAGTTTCACGCACATAGGTCTGGGAGAAAGATAGGTCAATGTAAAAAAAAAATCCGGATGTCTGCACCAACCTACAGTACAGACAGTTATTTAAAGTGCCATCAGGCTCGGCCCTTTTTACTTTTATTTTGCCCGGATGTGCCAGCAACGTCACTGAGAGTGAAACTGCTTTAATGCACGGAGGTAGGAATAACCTTCATGCTTTAATTAGGAACCATTCTTGCCTCAAACCATTGGGATTAAGCACGTGGTATACTACCACCGCGTTGCCTAGATACGAAGTGAATAAGAGGATTCCACCAATTGACACAAAGGGGAACACGAGACATTGGCGCCCCAATTTCCATTGTTAAAGGACGCTGGATGAGACCACTGAACATGTACGGCTTAAGTTGATTGTTAACCGCTTTTGGTTTTACGTAATACGGCTGCTATTATAAGCTTGTACCACGTAATTCCCCTTGATAGCTCTTAACGAGAGGGAGTTATACGGGTGACAATGCAATATTGGCCCGTAGTTGCTACTAGGCGTAGCACGCTGGACAGACAATGTCACCGGTGTTCTCAATTTGAGTAAAATTTGAAGAAGTTAGTGTCACAGTGTCCAAGATTCATATAAGAGACTGTCATCAGGACCATTCCTTGAAGTCGGTGTTTTTAATTCGAGACAGGAGGAGTAACTAATTCGAGACAGGAGGAGTAACCGCTTTGTCTCCGGTTCAATTGGAAAGTGAATTGCGAGTGTTAGGAAGATGGGGGCAAACGGACGTAAAGGCGTATACCACACAAGGTGAAAGGTCGAAGTTCAGCTTCTCAAGGCCAACTTTCAAGTTCAACTTCAGAAGTTAAAATCAACTACCGGAGTATCTGCTGGATGAACCATGGGTGAGTAAACTCTTGGAAAGAAAACCGGGAAAGAATGTAGTATTAAGACACAGTTTTGTTGGAAGTGTGCACTAAGTTTTGTTTCTTGTTCCTCTGCAATTTGCCTCTGAAGAAGTCTTTACATCTAAGGACGAAATTAGGCTGCACTAATTTTTTTGATTTGCACTTAGTTTTATTAAATTTGTATGTACTCAGGATTTTTCAAGCATACTGGTGAAAGTTAATCATATAGTTGGCATCAGGATTCTGCATTCTTTTCTGTTAAATAAGATGTTAACCTATATTTATCTGTTTGTTCAGAAAAATTATCATTGCCAAAAAAATGTGACCAAATGGGTTGATACATTGTACATCTTTTCCAAAAAAAGGCTTGGGGACCCATTTGGTGTGCCTAATCTGTGCCAATCTGTGCATTCACACAAATTAATTCTTTGCGATTGTTAACGTTTAGTTTATGCATGGTACACGTTTTGTTGAAAACTACAAGGAGTTGCCAACTACAATAATGCCTTACAAATTAACGTTTGACATGGAAAAAACGGGTGGGCTTTTTTTTGCATTCTTTCAAATTACATTCACAATGCACACGGTGCCGTGCGTTTGTTCTTGTATTAACGTGCACATATAGTCGGAACATTTGGGACTCTCAGTAGTCGCAATTGAGTCCCAAAACTTACTGAAAACATACAGCACAAGACTGGCACATCAAACAACCAGTCCAACAACCCTTTAGAACCGCATCAGTCAACTGTGTCAAAAGAAACATCTTGTAACCGGTCTCTATTTCTACACATCTCCCCATAGTGTGCCACCAGACTAATAAAGAGGTCAGTCTTTCCAAACATTGGACTTGTACAAGTCTAGTCTTAGGCTTCAAATTTAAAACACTTGGCTTAAGTTTTAGGTGCAAAATATTGAAGAAAAGTCTCGTTTAAAAAAGACTTCAAACTTGGCTGGTGAAACACTGAGGATCTTGTATTTTGCCCCTGAACATTTTGGAGAATTTTGTTGGCTAAAGAGTGAATGAGTAAAGCTGGCCTGAATTTGTTTTGCATGTTTTTCTACCCTCAAGGTCCCATACAATCTGACAAGTACCATAAACTAAACGTCAACAATCGCAAAGAATAACTTTTGTGGGAGGTTCAATACAGACACAAACATATTATTTTATGAGTTTGTCGTTTTATCAAAATTGTCTTTCGTGAACTATTTCTAGTTAGATCATTGTGACCACGCATCCGTGCCATATTAATCATTACATAAAATCGAACTGGTGTACGCATCTGTATTTCCAGGGTAGTCTGGTACTACTTTGATTGTAATGCATGGCCCTCTACAACAGGAAATTCGAAAATGTCCAAAAGTTATCAATTTTGTTCTCATCGGGAAGCTTTTTTTTTACCAAATCGTGAACGATTTCATTGATATCCGATTATCCGGTGTTTCTAGGTGTAACGTAAAAAAAAAAATGCTTATCAGGTCTAAAATTGTGTCTTTTTATTTGAATTGAAACTCAAGTAGGCCTAAAGCCCGGTTCATACTCGGCACGAAAGCGAAAGCGAACGCGAATCTGTGACGTCATGACAAGTATTCGCGCTGCGAATTCGCAAAAGTTGAACACACTTCAACTCGGGCGAATTTCGCAGCGAATGTTTCATGACGTCAAATTCGCTTCGCATTCGCATGAAGTATGAACCGGGCTTTATGCTATCGTGGCCATTATGTCATTGAAATAGTTGCGTCATATTCTATAGGCCTAATTAGATTGTTAAGGCTACCTGATGTATTGCCAGAAGTCGTCAGCAAATTGTCCAGTCGGGGAACATGTCTGCACTGTGATCGAAATACTGAGCATGCGCAAGCCTTCACTAAATATATCGACATGTTTATTTATAAACTGGCAGTACGAGTGTTTGTATTTATCAATGCACTTTTCCAGAAACAGAAAAGGCACTTAAATAAAGTACATAAGTTGGCTGTTTTCTGAGATCCTGACGTTGTGGGCATCAGTTCATTTATTTTGTAAACATTCGAAGAAAAATACATTATCCAGGAGAACGTGCTTTGTAGCAGTTTTCATATTTTCCATCTTTTCAAAAACATTTCTGCATTTGTGAAATGTTGTTTCGTACAGACGCTGTCGAGTCGCGGGCGGAGCTTCCTTTGAGAAATTGACAATCCTATTGTAGCACTTGGCCTTTTGTATTAGTGGATTATTTCTGGACATATCGCAGTTGCATTGTCTGGATGTCGTTCCGCTGCGGATGTCGGAGGTCGTAGCGTGCTGATTTGTCCTTTACTTTGCCGTCTTGTTTGTAATGCTACCTTGTGTTCCCTAAAGATGTATTGTCCCTGCAGTTGTCGACAATCTCTCTGGAAAATATTGCGATTTTTTTCCCCAGTAATTCAAAAATTATTCACTTTTAGATAAGACATCAAACGAAAGCATCCGCCTATGTTTAGGCATGGAATGTTTATTTTACAAGATTTTACCGTATTTGCGGCCCGATGATAATTCACTTCTATTGAGACAGACTGGTTCCCGACCCCATTAGAATTGATAATGTAGGGACCGAGAACCAGTCTACTGTTTGAGCGCAAGAGTTTTTCAGAGGGTTGAAGACGAAAACGGAGGCGACTAAAATAAAAAGGGGTAGTTAGACGTTTATATTTTAAAGACTTGTTAAGAAGACGTCAGAAGAGGAATACGATTGTTGAGGAGCACGGCCTGTACATATTTAGATTCAATTAAGACATGGGTGCACGTGTCACGACAAAAACCAAGTCATCATCAAATGTCTCGTGTGTCCGGTCGACTCTTTTTCCTGGAAGAAGTTTTCGTTTAAAAAAAAACCCAAACAAAAGGGCTGCATGCTTCAACATGCCTGCAAACTGGAATGACCCTAAATTATAAAAGTGAAAAAGAATTAAACTGCTGTAAACTGCTATCTGACTGGATTGACCTGATATATACAAATACAAAATGGCCTTAAACATTAATCAAATTAAGAAGCCTGATGCGTCAATTCCAACCATTAGGTTCGCAAAGTGTGTATTCGGAAGATAGTAATTTTTAAATTTAATGTGCCCAAATCAAGATTTGACGAGACCATTTTCTTTAAAAACTATTCTAACAATGCGAGCTGTGTTAAAGTTTTTTTCTGTGCAGTTTCAATAATAATTATAGTTTCCCCAATAAAGTTGAAAACTTTGTCAGCTGTGTTTATCCGTAAACTTAAAAAAAATCGTCGTTCTTGAACTACCAAACCTTTTGTGTTCCTGGCATTTTGGATAAATTGTTGAACCGATACTTTCGTAAATGAATCAACATCTTGGTAGCATACATGTATGCACTTCTGGAAATGAAAGGTTTGGAATTAAACACGTAGCTTACGAATCAGTGAACATTCGGGTCCTTACTTAACGAAATTTGAAACAGACCTCCTTTCGGTTCTTTCTAGCCTCTGATGATTAAAAAAAAACTAGGGCTCTCTTTTCATAGACTCGGCGGAATCAATTTCAGATTCAATTCAATACCTCTCACGTCTACACGCGTGTGGTCAACTTAATTCAATATTTCTTTTATCTACTTTGATTCTTTCGTGAATATATACGGTATCGGGAAATAAACAATCTGAGGTTTTTTTAAATACGCTGTTGACAAGGCCAGACAATAGTCGGTATCAGTCGCTTTTGTCAATGTGTTGTCATCGTATAGAGTTGGGTGAGGAACCTCGACAAAGCAGATTGACGTCATCATGTGCGCGCGCCGCCGTATTTTGTTCAGTTGTTGACTACGACGTGTAATGCAGAAATCCGGTAGAAATTATTGTAAATTTGATGTATTTTTACAGCGAAAAAGATTAGAATCAGTTAAAAACAGGCGTGTACGGATCATTGTGTTTAGACTACGGAAAACATTTCAGAGTGTTAACACCCCCCTCCAGAAAAAACACTGTTGGGAGCACGTGGTTCATCAAAGCTCCCTTAAAAACTTGTGGCCAATCGGTGAACAGTGCGTGACTGTCTAGAATCACATGACCAATCACGTGACTAATTACATGACGTCATGTCGCTATTTGAGTCCTTGTGCCGAGCAGCAACGGCAGGATATAGTCGCGTACTTCATGGTATATCAATCCAAACGTTGCTCGTGAACCCAACAGAAATAATTTGTCCCTCGTTGATGCAAGCACCGAATAAATCGCAGAAGACCGACAACCGTTTGAATACCAACCGAAGGAAGACGCGTGCAAGATCCGTAGTCTACCAGATTTTCTTGAAGAGGTATGGTTGCTCTTTCTTCCTCCATGCTCTGATACATTTACACTGTGAATATAAAAGTATGTGGAAAGAAATTTGGCAAGTAATTCTTCATTGTTTCACAAATGTTTAGGTTTCACTCATTGCTTACTATTGAAAGAACCACCCGATCTTTGGGTTGTTCCAACGATTACAGCAAAATGTGGAGTTTATAGAAAGGCTGAGGAAGGACTTCTGCATATGGAAGAGCATGAGCGTTACAGAATTTTCCAACCTCTGCATTTTTAAAACATAAAGAGTGATAGCAATTGGTTACCTTTATGGGCTCTCTGTTTAGAGATTCAGGCTTTGAAATCGATTGTTATTTTGGCTTTTATTTGTTGATACAATATTTCAGGGCATCTTTAAATAAGAGTTTGTACACCATTTCCATGTTTTGTACCATTATTTTGTTTATCATGTTTCTGATTTGAGCATCTTGTAAAACAAAGCTTTATTGGAACGGTCAAAAATACGGAACTAATTCCTAAAAAAAAAAAAAAAATCCCCCTCAAAAACATGTACATGTTTGCCAGTCTCTAAGTACATGTGTACTCGTGTTTACAATGGGCAGGGTACGGGAAACCGGTACAAGGACTCGGTCAAGTTGGGATAGTTAACACCGGAAGCGACCGGATAGTTTTCAGCAATTGTTTTTCATGCATACCGGCACTCGGCGAGTCACGCAAGACAAAAGA